CGTTGATTTTCTGGGGAAGCCAGCAGGGAAGGTAGCAAATAGTGATTGCAGGGTGTTTGGCAACCAGTCATAAGTATGAACGGTTGCCAAGCACCCAGATTGTGATCACATGACTATGGGGGTTCTGGGGCGACCGTAACTCCGAGGACCAGTCATAACCACCATTTGTTCAGCAACGTCATAACTTGGAATGGTCGCTGACTGAATGGTTGTAAGTCGAGGACTACTTATATGCTGATAGATTTTTTTCATTTTAGAAAAGACCACTTCTGTCTTCTCTGAGTAGTGTTTCTTTTCCTGGTACTGGTGTTCTGTGTAACACTGCCAGAAATAATTTTAAAGTGGCTGAAGTAATTTTAAATTTGGCATTCCCCAGTCTGGTGTCCTTCAGATGGGTTGGACCACTTCTCCAGCCTTAAGCAACAGTATTAATCATGCTGGCTTGGAACAACAGGACTTACAGTTCAGCTAACCTGGAGGCACCTGACTGGGGAACTGAACTAATAATGAAAATATGGTATTTTTATGTAGGAAATGTTTAATTGGTGTAATGTTGAAATACATTTCATTTTGTGCATTCGATTTTTTTCTTTGAGACAAGCAAAAATCCCCAAACCTGTAGCTCTCTAGTTCATTTTGTCTCCAAGCATAGATCATATTGTAGTTACTAGTGAAGCTTGCACTGTGGTCTGTGCTTGTTTAATTGATGTAATGTTGAATTCCATTTCATTTTGTGTCATGTCCGTCAGAATTTTATTTATAACATCTCGCCATGCACTGGGGAGAAGCTTATCTTTAAAAACATTAAATGACATGATTCACAACATCCTGTTGATCCTTATAAATACAAAATAAAACCAGTATGTAAATACTTTATGGTTTTGATTTTTTTCTAAATTGCTTTGAGACAAGCAAAAATCCCTAAACCTTTATCACTCTAGCTCATTTTGTCTCAAAGCCCAGATCATGTTATAGTTACTAGTGAAGCTTGCATTGTGGTTTTTGTTTGTTTTAATGGCTAATAAAATGTAATGCTTTTCTTTTTGTCTTTACTTTTAACAAATAAAGCATACTTTTACTTTTTTCTCTCCTTTTGGATAAAGGATTACAGAACTAATAGGATATGATCCCGAAGAACTCCTGGGGCGCTCTGTATATGAATATTATCATGCACTGGACTCTGATCATCTGACCAAAACACATCATGACAGTAAGTTGATGACGGCAGGACAGTTGCATGCTGTTCAGATTTCATTAACATATTCTGTGCTATTTACCATGAATCCAGTACCATGAAAAAGTTTTGTCGGATACTGTGTATGCTATTGTGAAATTCTAAACACTTCAGGAGTTCTGAACCTTTTGAGGCTGATGAGCATATTTAGAATGTTGAGAGCTTGTCTTGGGCATAGATTTCCTGCCATGAGGAAATGACAAATTTACAAATGACTAATCACAAAACAGCTATGCAGTGAAAGTCATTTTGTTGCTAGATGGATGTAACTTGCCCAATAACTGAAGAGGTAGAGGTAGAGTCTGAGTCCCAAATACCAAATTATATATTTATGCCCACAGATACCTGCTTCACTGAAGGCAAACTAGTGATGCTCACAGAAATGATTCCTCTGCACATTACTCCTACTCATGTCTACACATACTCAGGAAAAATCCACACTAAATACAAGCCATCTAACTATTGTTCTCAAAAATACTCAACACAGCATACATACGCATGTATTCATTGGTGAAGCAAAATACTCCTTTATTCTCTGCCATCTCCATTAGCTTACCAAGATATCCTATACTGCCCCTAGCTGCCATCACAATTTAAATTTTTAAAAAGAATATTAAGGTTAAAAGCATTCTTGAAAATAAAGATGTTGTAAGAGGCTGGAGCTTTATTTTGCAGTATTCTGGCCACCCTTTATTTTCACTGAAAATAATTGCTTAAAAAACGGCAAGGCCAATTAGGGTTGAGAGAATGTCAGTCATTCTACCAGGCAACCCAGTCTTAAGTGTATAAATAATTTGGGTCTCTTTCTGCTTCCAGTGTTTGCCAAAGGGCAAGTCACCACCGGACAGTATCGAATGCTTGCCAAGGAAGGTGGCTATGTTTGGGTAGAGACTCAAGCAACCGTTATATACAATACTAAGAATTCCCAACCACAGTGTATTGTGTGCGTGAACTATGTCTTGAGGTGAGTTTTGTCTGTAACTGCTGTTGGGAAGAGGCAAATAATCAGCCAGGTATTAAGCTGACTTTTAAAAGAGAAGTTGCTGGTATTTATGTCTGCTTGATGTAATGCTACTGCCTTTAGTAACAGAGTTTTCTTCAGTATGTATTTCTTCTCTGTAAGTATACTTATTCATTTCCATATTATGTTAAGGTAAGTTCTGTATGAAACCTCAGGTTTGTTTTCCTACTAATTGCCCATGGGTTTTCATATCTGTTGGAGCAGTGCTATTCAAAATTTTGGGAACCTGCATCACGGTTCAATAATGGATGTAGTTATTCCAACAAATGAGAGACTGCATGTGTGCCACCCACAGGTTTTCCTTCTCTGCAGTTCATGTATAGAATTCTGTTGGAATATTCTGCCTCTAGACAAAAAGACATATTATACATCACATCATATTAATCTTCAGTGTAGATACTCTTGATCGATTATGTGCCATCAAGTTAGTGTCAACTCTTAGTGACCACATACTGTAGATATTCTCCAGGATGATCTATTCCAACCTGTTCCATCGTTTCCTCCAATGGTGCACCCATCACCACTATAATTGAGTCCCTCCACCTTGCTGCTGGTTGACCTCTTCTCTTTCCATCTACCTTTCGTAGCATTATACTTCTCTAGACAGCTAGGTCTTCACGTAAAGTGTCCAAAGGATAATAATTTGAGCCTGGGCATTTTTGCCTTGAGTGAGAACTTGGGTTGATTTGTTTGATGATCCATTTGTTCGTTTTCTTGGTTATCCATTGTCCCTGTCATTCTCCAGATTTGCTGACATAGTTAGAATCTTTGCCTGAGATTATGAGTTTTCTGGATTGATAAATTTTTCAGCTACATCCTTACATTCATACAGTGGGGCAAAAAAGTATTTAGTCAGCCACCAATTGTGCAAGTTCTCCCACTTAAAAAGATGAGAGAGGCCTGTAATTTTCATCATAGGTAT